TTCCCTACATGGTTTCCCTCTTTTACTGGTGGGTTGAATGAATGGTGGCTATGATCCAGATGCAATTTTCTGCCTCTCAACAACTCATATTGAAATGGAACTGCATACGACACAGATGTGCCTAAATTTTTCAGCCAGAAGCAACAAAGTTCCGTCACTATCTCTTGGAGAGGGAGTGCTCTCAAATGTGCCAGCCCCTGTTTCCCCTCTGCCATTCAGGGGTTGCAGTCTCTTCTCCCCTACCCAACCTCAGCCCGGGGTACGCTTGGGGAGACTCAAGCACTTTTCATCAGTCCTATAAACTGAGTTCTGTGTGGTGTGGTTCAGAGTGTGGTTTTGTGGTGGTGTGGTTCAGAGTGTTGACTAAGACTATTCTTCCATTTGATTGAGTTGATACAATGACCTGAAAAGTCCATAAACATTCCATATGTTGAGAAAAGCTCTCAGGCATGCATGATACTTTAATATAATGACTAAGAATGGAAAGAATTCTTAATTTATTAGTAATTAGCCAGCCAGATTTTTAATACAAATATTGTGCCCACTGCCATTGAAACAATGGTAATTTTAGGATTATTATTTGGGGTATATATAAATAACATAGACCAAATACACTGAGAATCAATGCACATTCTAGGACAACAACACATACTTGAGAGATGACAACAACACCAGAGCTTCATGGCACTATATATTAACCTTAACACAGCCTGCATCCCACCAACTTTTTATTGCACAAAACACATATTCAGGACTGCAGCATGTTTATCACAACTGACTGAATGAATCTATTAATGACTTGCATCAAATTTGACAAAAATGGATAAGATGTTACATATTGGGAGTGGGAGACCATCTACCTCTCTAGAAGCAAGGGCTTGGACTCACTGGGGGCCCTGTTTACAGCACTGTGGGGGGGGGAGGCGGCCACATCAACTCTTGCTGGGGAGAGTGTGGCAGGGGCAACATCAGGCATGGGAAGCTGGGGCCCACCCGCTGCTGGGCCTATCAGAAAACCAAGGGAGGGCTGGTTGGGGCAGGGGCGTCTGGGCTGCTACAGGAAGTTGAGAGCAAAACTACTTCCAGTACAAAGTTCCTCCTCTGTTTCTTAGGCCAGCCTTGCTTATTTCAACATGTCAGGGTTTTCAAGGGTTTGCTACACAGCAACCAAAATAAGCAGGAAGAAATATGTAGCAAAACTGAATAATTTAAATGAGAGGCTAAATGGGGGAGGCAACAAATTGATTTAACTGATTTTGTATAGTGCAACTAAGAGTGGATAAATCTTCGGTCCAACAACATTTTGGTAAATCTGATTTATGATGTATCACAAACATAAAGGTTTTCAGACTTTTAGAGCTGGAAACTCACCTTTAAATCCCAACCAGTGTTCCCTCTAAGCTGAGTTAGTGTGAGCTGACAGCTGGCTCACAGTTTTTTAGCCTCCGGCTCACACATTTTTGTCTTAGGAAGGATGGCTCCAGAGCAAACTAAGTGATGCAGTAGACAAATCACTCGCTCACAACTGTAATGCCAGTAGCTCACAAAGTAGAATCTTTGCTCACCAGACTCTACAGCTTAGAGGGAGCATTGATCCCCATCAGTAGCATGGGATTCACCAAGCTGCAAGAAGCTGAGAGGAAGTAATGTAAGAGAGTCACATGACAGGAGGAGGAGCCACAGTTATGACCTCGCTGGGAAAGGAGCTCCGTGTGGAAAGCACACGAGGAAAACTGGTGACTGAATGACAAGGTGACTGAGTGGCCAGGCTGGAAGAGACAGGAAGCAAAGGAGAACGTCTGTGGGAAGGGAACTTTGAATCATCCTGTGCCAAAAAAGAAAAAGAAAATTATCTTCATCTTGAATTGGAAGATTTGTCTCCACTTACCGTGAAGCTTCCTTCTCGGTGGTCCAGAGTGGAGCAGTCTTTTGGACTCCAAACTCCTGGGTTAGCTCCTCCCTCCTCCAAAGGCAGGGCCGGCAGACTCTTGAGGCACAGAGAGGGAGGGGCTTGTCCCTCAGATTCCCAGTTGAACTTCAAGCCCCTGTCCTCAAACTGTGAAAAATAACTGACAAGAACCGCTCCCAACGGGGAAGCTACTCTGACAATAACAATATACAGGACAACAATCTGACAGTCACTAAGGAACGGGGAACCAACCCCTAATCCCCTAGAACTCCCCTATGTCTGTCACACCCCTATACAGCAAGGAAGCGGACCCCAAAGAACAAAAACGAGCGGGAAGGACTGCTCCACTCTGGACCACCGAGAAGGAAGCTTCACGGTAAGTGGAGACAAATCTTCCATTCTCCGGTGGTCCAGGAGTGGAGCAGTCCTTTGGACTCCAAACTCCTGGGACGTATCAAAGCAGTGCCCTCCAGGGTGGGTCCGTTCCGCTTCCCCGTTCACAGGGTGTGCTGCAGCATCCTACGGCCAAAGGCCGCGTCTGCAGATGCCAACTTGTCAATCTTGTAGTGTCTAGTAAAGGAATGAACAGACTTCCAAGTTGCCGCTTTACACACTGTGTCCAGTGTGGGGAAAGCCCTATAAGCTGCTGAAGTAGCCATACCTCTGAGAGAATGTGCTGTTACTCCCTGAGGGGGTTCCAGCCCCCTAGCCTGGTATGGAGACAGGCAACTCATCCTTGTCAGCCATTTTGAACCCAGACCTGAAAGTGAAAATAGGATACAGTCCTCAAAATGGCCTCCTTTCCCTCCAAAGCTCCTCATGGTCTAGTTTCACTTTCACCATGAATAAGCCTCTAGGCAATACAAGCCCTATGGAGTCCTCTTCTCTTACCCCTCGTACTCCACTGACTTAAGAGGAAAAATGCATTAGCTATCTCCTTCTTATAGTCAAATGCTATAGCTCATTAGGCTAGCATTCCCTGCCCCTACTAATCTCCCTCCTGTGTTATACACAGGAAGAGGGAAGGATCAACAAAGGGGAAAAGCAAGGGTGCAGCAGACACCTGCAATAACCCAAGAACCATGGGGTTTCTTTTTTGCTTACCGTGGTTCCTAGGGTA